CTTTATAATCCATTTAATTTTTTTTTTTTTTTTTTTTTTTTTTTTTTTTTTTTTTTTTTTTTAAAAACAGCTATTGCATTGTGTAGATCGTACATAGTTTGTTCAGCCATTTTCCTAGATATGGGCATTTAGGTTGTTTCTAATGTTTGGCAATTAACATATAATGATGCAGTGAATAACTTTCTTTTTTGTTTTTTTGAAACGGATTCTCACTCTGTTGCCCAGGCTGGAGTGCAGCGGCATAATCTCAGCTCACCCCAACCTCTGCCTCCCAGGTTCAAGTGATATCTTCTGCCTCAGCATCCCGAGTAGCTGGGATTAAGGTGCATGCCACCATCCCCGGCTAATTTTTGTATTTTTAGTAGAGACAGGGTTTCGCTATGTTGGCCAGACTGGTCTCGAACACCTCACCTTGTGACCCGCCTGCCGCGGCCTCCCAAGTGCTGGGATTACAGGCGTGAGCCACCGCGCTTGGCACCAATGAATAACTTTCTATACGTATTTTTGTATCGTTAGAGGTATATCTTTAGGGTAGATCGCTAGGGATAGGACCGATGGGTCATATGCTTGATTACTATTTGAGTTCTTTAAAACAGTCAAATCTGTTCTGAAGTATATTTGTTTTGTTTCCTTATTGAGGACATAGTTTTAACATATACACTTGTATGTCTGCATATCATTGGTGATTTTTTAGAATGATTCGGGGGCAGTATAGTATCTTAAAGGAATTTCAAAATGATTAAAGAATATTAGGTGTTATATAATGATTATGCTCATTTTACTTAAAATTTGATTTTTTAAATTGATCATATTTAAGACCTTTCTGTTCACTGAAATAGTTCCTAATGTGTGAAATGCAGGAGTCTTGTTTATTTTACAGATTTGTCTCCTCCATAAGAAACAGGTTTTCAAGGGTAAAACTAACCTTGACCCATCTGTTCTATAGGTGGTGCCATGTAGCCTGTCAAGCAAAGGCCTTTTAGGTGAATTCCTCCATTACAGTAAATATGATTTATACATTTAATTGGTCAGTATTAATTTTTTACATTTTAAAATACTTTCTTAGTTGTATACATTTCATTTTAGAAGAATGTCATTTAGGATTAAAAAAGTTTTTGCAGTTCCCTTAACAGTAGGTCACAAAGAGCTAAATAATGTATTTTTTAGCACTTACTATGTGTCAAGCGTTTTTAGCACACTTGGTGTGGATTATCTC